GGAGCTGGGAATCCATCCCATCGCCTTCCTAGGGGCTGAGGGTTCAGGGTTCAGGGTTTAGGGTTCAGGGTTTAGGGTTTAGGGTTCAGGGTTCAGGGTTTAGGGTTCAGGGTTTAGGGCTTAGGATTCAGGGTTCAGGGTTTAGGGTTCAGGGTTTAGGGTTTAGGGTTGTTTTAGGGTTTAGGGTTCAGGGTTTAGGGTTCAGGGTTTAGGGTTTAGGGCTTAGGATTCAGGGTTGAGGGTTTAGGGTTTTTTTAGGGTTTAGGGTTCAGGGTTTAGGGTTCAGGGTTCAGGGTTTAGGGTTCAGGGTTGAGGGTTTAGGGTTCAGGGTTCAGGGTGCAGGGGTTAGAACTTTTTAGGGTTTAGGGTTTAGGGTTTAAGGTTTAGGGTTTAGGGTTTAAGGTGGTTTAGGGTTTAGGGTTTTGGGGCTTAGGGTTTCGGTTGTAGGGTTTGGGGGTCACGGTTTAGGGTTTCGGGTTTGGGGGTTTGGGGTGTAATTATTGGTGTTTCTTGGATAAAGGTAGGGGGGGTGATAGAGGCCCGAGGGTTCGGGGCAACGCTTAGGGTTTAAGTGTTCTTTCAGGAACGTAGACCCTTCCTTCGAGTGCCTGATCTTAGCAACAGTTTAGGGCTTAGGGTTTAGGCTTGAAGGGTGTGTCTCATCCACCGCCTCTTCAAACTCTTAACGCTACCATGCCCTGCCCTCCTCGCAAGGGACGTTCCTTCCGTTGTTGAAAATCGGGCATGCTTAGGCTTGAGGGTGTAGCGCTCAAGTATGTTTAGGGTTAGGCAGTGCGGACCCCTTAAAGTTAGGGTTAAACGTAAGCGGGTTCATTCAGTATCTGAATAAGGAACAGGGTTCCTAGGGACATCCTTCTCACGGAAGGGAATTGTGCTAACAGGGGTCCACAAGCGGATTCCGGCATGTTCAGGGCGTAGGATTTCGGACGAATCTCAGGGTTAGGGTGTACATAGGACTTAAGCAGAGGCGTGAAGAGCCTGGGTTCATGTCAGGTTAAGGGCATTGAGCCTATTTCGGCTTATTATGTCTTGGGCGCAAGCTTAGACTGGAAGAGTGTTCAAGATTACGACTGGTCGTTTCATGCTACTCTGAAACGCTATACTATTACCAGCCTTTTAACCTCAAAAACCCGACATGTTGAAAGCCCAAACTTTATCCCGATGTCTAGCCCAAACCTCGGCGTGGCACACACAGGGATTCTGCAACCCTGTGGTGCTCATGGTTGCAATTTTTCGAGAGTACCTCGGGCCCAAACACTTACCGTTTAATGACGTGACATGACATAGATACGGAAACCGAGGAAAGACGCTAAACCCTGAACCCCCAACGTTCGGGAGGCTTCTTGGGCTTCAGGCGGGGTTTCAAGGGAAACTCTAAACTCTAAACCCTAAACCCTAAACCCTCAACCCTAAACCCTAAACCCCACACCCTAAACAAGGAATGCTGAAACCGGGCGGCTGCTTCTGGAAGGTGATGTTACGGAGCTTCTCCCATCCCATGTCAAACTTGCCCTTGTACTTGTCGGCCCACTCGCCTGGTGAAGTGGAACGGTCGTTCGGGAGCATGACCTCCAAGTAATGTAGGGGCCTTAGTAATTAGAATTGGGTTTGGGGGTATATGGTACTAGAACTATAAAAAGGAGCCCCCAAAATAGTATAGGTAATTATTTAGGTTTCTATAACTTCTAAATGGCGCGCTGAATGCCAAAAGCACGAAGAATCGGATCGGAACACGAAGCCTTACAACCCTTCGAACCGGCCATTCGTTGTTGAGCTTCTTTCGCGAACTGGGTTGTAGTTTTGGGGCCTTGAAAAGCATTTATGAATAGGTACCTCTATAGAAACCATAAGGGAAATTTTTAAGTTTCCCAAATTGCCACCTAGAGAAGGCTGCTTCTTTCGCGCTTCCCAAAGACGGGAGAGCTCCGGGTCAAGGGTGTAGGGTGCAGGGTTAAGATTAAGGCTTAGGGGTTTAGGGGTTTAGGGGTTTAGGGGTTTAGGGGTTTTGGGGTTTTGGGGTTTTGGGGTTTAGGGTTTAGGGTTTAGGGTTGAGGGTTTATGAAACCCTAAACCCTTTTACACCCTAAACCCTTCACTGTACGGTTTAGGATGCAAGCATGTGAATTGAAGGCCCTATAAAACCCTAAGACCCCCAAGCCCCAACAGCAAATGCCCCAAGCCGCTTGCAGAAGCAAAAGCTACAGTTTCGGCTGTTTGGGGTTCAAGAATCTCGGGAAAGCCACTGCATCCCGCAAAGGCCTTAGGGCCTTTTTTGTAAGGGTTTAGGATTTTGAGGTTAGGGTTCATAGTTTAGGGCTTAGGGCTTTGCACGGGGTTAAGGGGTTAGAACGGTTAGGGTTTATAGGGTTTAGGAGTTTAGGACTTATAGGGCTTTGGGCGGCTTAGGGGTTAGAGCGGTTAGGGTTTAGTCTGGAACTGTTTCCTGGCCACCCTGGTCTGCCCTGCCTGTTCTGTCCCCTGTCCCGTTCCCTTTGGCCCTGCAAGGCTTTTTACCTTTTTGCGAGAGGGTTAGAGTACACGGCTATGGACTTTCCCTGAAACCCTAACCCTCAATACGGGTTTAGGGCTTGGGCTTTACGATCCCTCAACAATTAAACTCTAGAGGTTTGCGGTTTAGGGTTAAGCCCCCCACCCTAATGTAGGCAAATCCTCATCCACGTCACTGTGCACGTGGTGAGGGCCGTGGGTGCCGCCAGGAGCGAAGTAGATGAAAAACGGCCTCGTTCCAACCCTAAATCCTGAATCCTAAACCCTAAACCCTAAACCCTTAGGGCTTAGGGGCGGCAGTGTTCAGGACACTTCAGTGGTGAGGGCTTAGGTTTAGGCGTTGGCTACTTGGGTTTTGGAGGGGAGGTGATAGTTAAGAAACGGACACCATTAGAAGCGCAGTATCCAGAACTTAATAATATGGCTTGATAGGGTTTAGGGTTTAGTTTTCAGGCTTTTGGGCGCTGTGAGGTTTTGCAATTCTGCAGGGCTTGGGTGCTTAGGCGCACGAATACCTCGTAGCTAAGCAGTTTACAAGCCTCGAATCAATCAGGAAGGATCCCGCCAGAATAGTCCGTACTCCCAGGTTCTTAACCTAATAACCATCTGCAATAAACAACGAACCCCAAACTCCTAAACCGTCATACGCCAAATTCCAGGCTCTTTGGATGGGCCGAAGTTGGAGAACCAGATCCCGGCAGGGACTACGGGGCAAGTCAGCCCTTGGGTTCAAGGTTCAGGTTTAGGGTTGGGGTTTAGGGTCAGGTCTTAGTATGGCTTTAGGACAAAGGGCTTAGAGTACGCAACTTGGGTTCAAAACGATTTTGATGCATCTCACTGATTGATGGCAGAACTGCTTGACTGACTTGCTGAATGATTCACTGACTGATGGACTGATCTTGAAGTAGTTCTATTTTTTGGTGTTTAGGGGTTGGCTTGATGCGGGGTAGGCGGCCGATCCGGTGTCAAAGCACGGTTGTTACGGATGAACTTGATGGCTTGGTCAGCGAGATCCTCCCACGGAAAGGCTTTTCAGCTAAAGGGTTCAGGGTCTACGGGTTGTCCTTTTGGGTGCCCCTTGTGAAAGCTACTCGGGTTTGGGAGCCTTTTTCCTTCTTAGATACAAGCAGTGGAGCACCCGAGTAATAGCTGTGCCAAGTTAGGGAGCCCCAGTAACCCCCTGGTCCTCAACCATCCCAAATTGATGGTTCGGGGCTGTGGGCACATGGCGCCCTGAAAAAGTCTAGACCCGCACCCCCGGTAGAAAGTGAATTCTAAGCCCCCGAAGGCAAGAGCAACAAATCCCGAGCACTACACCCGAAACCCAAATCCTTGAAAGCTCTGCAGCGAAACCGCATAGAACCTCTCTCTCCATGTGTGTGTGTGTGTGTATACATATATATACATATACATATAGTGTGAAAATCTATATATGAGATGTATGCGTAAAGACAAAAATACCTCAAGCACCTAAACACCTGCCGCCTCAAGGAACGGGAAAAGGGAAACCATGACAAGGCACCCTGAAAACATTACAGATTTGGTCAGGTCCACAAACCTTAGCACCCTAAACCTTAAGCCAAACTTCCAACCCTGCAGCGAACCCTGGACCCCAAACCCTAAACCCTAAACCAACCCTGAACTGGGCTCTTTGAGCATGTTCCGAGGGATATATAGGGCTCCATGAAAACCCTAAACTCTTAATGTAGGGGCCTTAACTATTAGAATAGGGTTTCGGATTTGCCTTATTATAATTATGGTATTATATACCCCAAAACCCCATTCCACTCATTAAGGCCCCTATGTTAATAGCTAGACTAGGGCTTTGGCGGATATTATGGAAGCCTCGGCAAAGTGACATAGACTGCACCTTAGGGTTTTCGAAACATCTCCCAGAGTTCCTTCATATGGCCTTAGATGCTACCCAACACCCCAAGAGTATGGTAATGCAGGGGCCTTAATAATTAGAAAAGGGCTTTGGTTAGGGTCTTTGGGGCCTTAGAGGCCTCCACAAGGATTCTTGGGTTCTTTGCCGCTAAACCCTAAACCCTAAACCCTAAACCCTAAACCCTAAACCCTAAACCTTAAACCCTAAACCCTATACCCTAAAACCTAAACCCTAAACCCTCCTTCCGAGGTAGTGTTAGGGAGACCCCTTAAAGGGGACTAAATGGGACCTTATTATAGGGTTTGGGGTTTAGGGTTTAGGGTTTAGGGTTTAGGTTTATTGAGAGGGTCTATATCCCCATTCAAGGGTCCCCCTAGTCCTAAGTCCCATTCCTTTGGGCTCAAGGGAAGAGTCCGTTGGTTCTTTGAGGGTTCTTTCCGGGAGTTGTAGTGTCGCCTTGATACTTGAACCAGGGTTTCAGGGAATTACAATGTCCGGTTTAGGGTTTGACGTAGAAAGGGATCCTTGAGGGCAAGGGTTCCTTATTCTAGTTATAGTATCATGGAAACCCAAAACCCTGAACCCTTAAAACCCTTTAGCCGTCATCCCTAAACCCCAAAGCCCCAAGCTCTAAACCCGAAAACCGCAAGCTCGAAAGTCCCAGACTCCGAATCCCTACACCCAAGACCCCAAACCTGGGTTAGGGTTTGGGGGTTTAGGGATTTAGGGGTTTAGGGATTTAGGGGTTTAGGGATTTAGGGGTTTAGTGTCCTAAACCCTAAACCCTCAAGCCTAAACCCTAAACCCGAAACCCTAAACCATGTCAAAGTCTACTCGCCGGCCTCAGTGAGGTGATAGCCCTGCTCCGCTGTGTAGGGAGGCTCGATCCTAAGAAAGGGGAGTGCTGGGGGGTTTAGGGTTCAGGGCTTGGGGGGTTTAGGGTTTGGGGTTTAGGGTTTGGGGGTTTAGGGTTTATGGTTCAAGGGTTTGGGGTTTAGGGTTTGGGAGTTTAGGGTTTATGGTTCAAGGGTTCGGGGGCTTAGAGGTATTCGGTTATTTTGAGGCTTTTGGGTTTCGGGGCTTGGAGGGGGGTGTGAGGTTTGCCGCTTCTGGTGTAGTCGTTTGGGGTCCAGGGGAAGTCTCACGCGCTGATCGTTCCGGGGGTCGGTGTAGATTTTGTGGTTGAGGGCTTGGGGTCTGGTGTTTGGGCATTACTGGGTTGTAGCTTTGGGGTCCTGAAAAGTATATATGAATAGGTACCTCTATAGAAACCATAGGGGAAATTCTAAAGTTTCCGAAATTGCCACCTAGATTAAGGTTAAAATAGCATCACCTTCACAAGGGTTCCGGGTTTAGGGTTTGGGGTTTAGGAATGGAGCTTTGGGGCTTGGGGTTTAGGGTTTAGGGTTTGGGTTTGGGGTTTGTGGTTTAGGGTTTAGGGTTTTAGGGTTTAGGGTTTCGGGTTTCAGGGTTCCGGGTTTAGGGTTGGGGGTTTGGGGCTTGGGGTTTAGGGTTTAGGGTTTACGGCTATATGCATGACCTGGTACAGGAGCCAACAACACAAAAGGCAGGGAGTTTCAGCAAAGTTGGGGAACCTAATATGGAACCTAAATCCTGAAGCATTTGGATCCTTGTTCTTGTTATAAGCAGCCCAGCAGCTGCGACCCACGAACGTGTTCTAGAGGCCTTCATGATTATAACAAGGGCTCCTTCAAGGGCCTCCTCTAAATGCTTTCCAGGGTTTGCGTATGAAACTCACACACAAAACCCCTACCGTGACCTATTTTTTGCAGGTTCCTGGAACAAAACTTTACTATGGAATTCAGAAGGAACATACATGTAGGCAGGCCTTAACCTCTAAACCAACCGAGGTACGGATTGGTGTTCTCGAAGAGCCGCGGCTCGTACTGCGACGTCTCGCCGGCGATGAAGCCGTAGAAGTAGCTGAAACCCAGACCTGCCCCAGCTCCCCAAAGAGCCCAATACCCCCTACATTAGGAATGTAGCTTAAATCACAATTCAAGCTATATTCCTTACTTAAGGTGCATTGGGCTCTCTGGGTCGCCAAGCCCGATCTTTCGGGTTTAGGGCTTAGGCTCAAGGGCTTAGGGTGACTGGTTAAAGAGATATAATCTAGGGGCCTTAATAATTAGAATAGGGTTCTGGGGCCCATGACACTATAGCTATAATAAGGAGCTCCCACAATAGTATAGGTAATTACTAAGGCCCCTACATTAGAGGTCTTGCTTCGTCTTGCTTAAGCAGCATTCCTCATCCTAGGAGGATCGGGCTCTCTGAGGCAATGAAGAACCTGCAATTCTGGAGGGCTTAGGGTTTTTTTGTCAGTGCCATGC